TTTTTTCCTACTAATATTACAAAAGTGACACATGTTTAAATCAAGGACATGTGAGGTGAGCTGCGTGCTGATAGTACGCAATAATATGAAAGGCATGCGCTCCTTCTGCATCCAATCGAAGTGCTGCTATGGCTCATTTGGCGCACACTGCAAATTCTAGGTACACAAACGCGGTTAGCATAACTACCCTGTCCCAGGATACCTCCTTGGTTACAACAATTTTGCAGCCCACTGAGATGAAGGGGAGCCACTGATGTGATTCACCCACTATCATAGGTTGCCCCTCACTGACTGAGAATGTAAAATGATTTTAAAAACAAACTACAAACAAAAACTTCATTATTGGACAGAGAATATTTTTCTTGTTGAATTTTGAGAATTCTGATAGGCATCAGTGTAAACAGCCAACCAAAATTTCCTGTCTCATTGCAATCTTAATGTTTGTGAAAGAAGGGAATGTGGCTTTTTTTGTTTTAAAGTATTGGTTTACCAAGAGTTGTTTTTGTGTGCATACAAAGACAATAGCACTCTTCTATTCCCTGTGTTCTTTGCAGAAGAATATGCATGCCACTAATTATTACAGTTCTGCAAAACTATGTATAACAACATATATCTAACTTGTAGGATCTTGGGCACAGACTTCTATGGTATAGTGTTTACTATAAATGGTGCCCTAATATCTGTTTGCACTCTTTGGTTGCTCCTGTAATATGAATTATAAATAATCATTAAGAATAGACTATATTCTCCAGCAGATATACTCTGATTTGATGCCAGTGCCATATTCTTTTGCTTCCCCAATTATGTTCTATCAGCATCAGTTCTCAAGGGAATGTTTGACCTTTGGATTTCACTGAGATGGTGCTGGATTTTTAGGCATTTATTCTTTTTGGGGGGAGTTTTCACAACAGAAGTTGATTCATGTAAGGGTTGTTCCACAGGGATTTATTTTATTCATTCTCTACACTTCTGGTTCCTGTTTTGGACTGCAGTCCCCTTCCTAGTAGATGTGGAGTGATTACCTTGATGTGCCCGATGACCTCATCCTGAAAGCTCTTTAATAAGCAATTTGAGTCAGAAGTCATCTTTGTATGCTGGGCCTGTGCAACTCCTAGTATAACCAGGTCTTAGGGTATGTCTAGATTACATCCCTCTTTCGACAGAGGGAAGTAAATTAGGCCCTTCGAAATTGCAAATGAAGCCAGGATTTGAATTTCCCGCTCTACATTTGCATAATCACGTCATGGCGCTCTAAGCCATTTCTAAAGTAAAACCGCAGTCTAGACCCAGTTCTTTCGAAAAGGGAAGACTTTTTGAAAGATTCTGTAAACCTCAAAAAATGATCTTTCAAAAAAGCCTCCCCTTTTCGAAAGACCCATGTCTGGACCACGGTTTTACCTTTGAAATGGCGCTTTTTCGAAAGAGTGCCATGATGTGAATATGCAAATGAAGCACAGGAAATTCAAATCCCGGCTTCATTTGCAATTTTGAAGTGCCTAATTTACATCCCTCTGTCAAAAGAGGGTTGTAATCTAGACACAACCTTATAGTCTATGAATAGGGCTTCTAGGTATTCTAATACAAACATATAATAATAGTAGTAGTAGTAATAATACTCGCCATAAATGTATCCGCAGTTGTTCTTAATAGGGTCCATACTGCATGGCAATGCACTCGATTTTTGTGGCACTGAGTAATTTGCCAGCTATTTAAAGGCAGTAAAGAGAAATAATTTCATCTGAAGATCCTTGCTCTCAGATGGAATAGGAAGAGATCTCACTAGAGTTTTAAAGAGACAAGGTGAGTGAGGTAATATCTTTCATTGGGCCAACTTCTGTTGGTGAGAGAGACAAGCTTCTGAGCGTACTCAGAGTGCTTCTTACAGACTTGAAGAAGAGCTCTGTGTAAGCGCAAAAACTTGCTTCTCATCAACAGAAATTGCTCTAATAAAAGATATTACCTCACTCGCCTTGTCTCACTAATATCCTGGGACCAACATGGCTACAACAACACTGCACACACTAGAGATCTGTCAGGTAAACTAAAAGCAGCCACTCTGGGATGCCTTAGCACAGTGATTACTCATTGTGTATGCAGGTGAAATTTATGGTGAAAAATTAAATTATACTTGTGAGCAAAGAGCAATAACATAGGCAAGTAATTGATTTAGATTTGTCAGTTCTGCGGAACCTGTAAGGAACTCTAGAAGGATGAAATTCAGAGTGGATAAGCAGAAGTTAATACTCACAGAAATTATCATGGAGAGGTAGTTGTGTTAGTCTGATCTTGGTAAAACAAAAAAAGAAGTAATGTAGCACTTTAAATACTAACTAGATAGTTTATTAGGTGATGAGCTTTTGTGGGGCAGACCTGAAGAAGTGGGTCTGCCCCATGAAAGCTCATCATCTAATAAACTATCTTGTTAGACATTATCATAATACTTATAATAACAGACTTAAGAGTTTTCAGGGAGAAAATCAAAGTGTCATTGTACACCCTTCAGTTAAGACATCTGCTGAATCTGCAGGAATGAGAAAACATGTTACTAAGGAGTTAGTGTTTTTTTCAGAGGCACAGAGAGTCCCAGAGAAAATATTAAAGTGTCAGTGTATATACACGGATATCACTTACTTTGAATACTGCATTTGGCTTTGAGCAATCCCTCACACAAATTCCATATTGTACTAGAAACAGTCCAAAGAAAGGCAGTGAAAATTAGTAGAGGCATAGTAGTGGTTACCATACCAATTTTAAAAGACTAGCATTAATTAGATGCAAAAGGAGAGGTCAGAAAGACATCATAACAAAATATAAAGGGGTGGTTAGTTGATCATTTCTTTTTTTAACCTGCACAGTCATTAAAAAACACATGGACATACACAGTGTAAGGGAAAAAATAAAACAGATAAAAGGGTTTGTTTTTTTGGCTCAATATACAATGCGTGGAACCCCTTGTTGGTAGCAGGATATAATTAAGACAAGTACTTCAATGTAATTCATAAAAGGATTAGATATTACATGATTAATAATAGCATCTTATTGCTAGAAGGAATCACTTAGGCCATCAAATAAATAGTAGTACTATAGTAGGCCATCAAATTATAGAACTATAGTATTCTGTAAATTTTGAGGTGATGACGGTGTATACTTCTGTAGCATCTGGTGTGACAGAAACTGATATGATCAGCATACCGAATTAGCTAGGTCATTGCTCTGTCTCAGTATATCAATTCCTGTGTTTGTATACAAGTTTCTAAAAAGCTTAAAATCATCTTCATAATCAAACAAAGTTGGACCAAATTCTGCTTTTAATTATAGTGGTGAAATTCAATTTATTTCTGTTAGCCGGCAATTATACTAGTATAATTGAAAATAGAATTTGTCCCACTGTCATTTACTTTCTAAATTTAAAATGTCCTGTCTCATTTTGCTTTTATATTAAATGCAACTATTTTCCAAATACATTATTTAAACACAGAAAAGTAGATCGTAAATATTTTTATCACATTTTAATTTTATTGAAATTTTCAACCAGTAACTTATTGATCTGCTCCTGATTAATTAATAGCACATGTTTTTTGTTTCTCCTTGTGGATATCAAAGGGGAACAAATAGATGTATAGACTTCCAAGTGCCTCTCTAGGGAGAAGACTTGCATGGACACTCTGGTATCTTCGAATCAGCTCTCAATTTCATTTTGTTTGTGCCATTCAGTGCTAAAGGGGTGGAGAACTACCCCATGCAGCAGGAGATTCTCATGGCATAAGAGGAGTCTCTGTTTACAGGTTGAACCTCCCAAATCCAGGACTCTCTGGTCCGGTAACATCTGTGGTCCAGCAGAACCATGATTGTTGCTGAACCAAAGAGCCATGAAGGTGGGAGCAATGCAGGGGCTGGAGAGCCCCGGCTGGGTCAGGAAGCATCTGGAGAGCCATGCCCCAGCCAGGGAACCCCCTGCGTTACCATGGCCAGGTGACCAGGGAATCCTGGTCCAAGCTGGGAAAATGTTGGCGGCCGGGCAGCCCCAGCCAGGAATCCCAGCAAACCCTCAGTGGCACCAGGTAACCTCTGCTGGGGAACTACCATGTTGAAGTGGGGCTGGCAGAGGCAGATGGCTGGAATCCCCAGCAGCAGCAGGGGTGGGGCGGCTGGATGCCCCGGCTGGGGAACCCCCAGCAGCAGCAGGTGGCCCCATTTGGGAACTCTAGGGAACAACCTGGGGCATCAGGATGGGGAGCTGTGCCAGGCCAGTATAAGCAGGGCCAGCAGCAGGATAGGGAGCACCAAGGAGAGGAATCTGGCAGCAGAGCAGCCAGTAAGGAAGCACTGACCTCCCCTGGTCTGGCAAATTCCCTGGTCCAGAACAGCTCAGGTCCCAAGGGCGACAGATCAGAGAGGTCCAGCCTGTAGTATAAAGCTGGTGTAGCTGGTGATAGGTTAGCTGGCATAACTTACTGTAGCCCTCAGTCCATTCAAGCTGAATATCAGTAAAGTAGAATGGTCATTTAGAGCCAAATTTCCCTAGACCTCTACCCCACCATTTGCAAGGCCAAGGGATCTGGCTCTTAGTCATTTGTGATTTTGCATACTGTAATCAAATATTATGTATGAATTTTCTGACTTCATTCTGCCCTGATGAATAGATGATTTTTACATTGTTCACTGTGTTCATATATTTGAACAGGAGAGAATAACAAGTAGAGCCAATATTTAGAGAAGTCATTGTGTGAACATACTTTGACTGACAAAGCTGTTGTAGCTAATCTCATTTTAGAGCTTGGTAAACTAGTGATGTTAGTGAGATAGTAAACTTACAAAAAGATTTAATACATTTCACTTAAGCTATCTTCATGTTTCACAGCCTGCATCTGAAACTACTCCTTTTGATTTGCTAACACAGCCAGCTATCTCATGGATTATTAAAAGGGTATCTCTCATTGCATTAACACTGGGAAACTGCACTTTAATGTAATCACTGTTATATATCTTTGGTTTCTTAGGTAGCAATGTTTGCGCTGCACTTGGGCAGCGCCACGTTCTTGTTGACGGAACCAGTGATAAGCGCGATGACAACAGGAGCAGCTACGCATGTTGTGACTTCACAAGTCAAGTATCTGCTGGGAATGAAAATGCCATATATATCGGGGCCACTGGGATTCTTTTATGTGAGTTCACCAGAAGAGCTATCACATTGATTTGCTAATATTCTGTTTAACAGCTCTAGTTTTTTGGAAGGAGTAAGGACACCCTCATGTGAACCCTTCATGTTAGCAAGCTATCCTATTCAAATGAGTAGGGTTTGTGAATAGAGATTATTTGAGTGAGTAAGAATTAGCAGGATTAGTCTTTAGATCGATCTCTTGTGTTTTCTGGTTAAAAATAATTGCTCAGTTTTTGCAGCTTTGTCAATAGTTCTAATTATTAGATTTAACAAGCACAAATATTTTGTAATTTTTCATTCAACTGATGCTAAACAATACTCAGTTTATAGGGCATTACAGAGAGCATTAATCTTTGTTGAACATATGGTGTAAGGGAACACCACAGATTTTCAGATTTCATTCCAGACATGTTTCTTGTCACTTTCTTGAATACTAGTGAGATGAAAGAAATGTGATGCATTATTTGTGGATGTCCTGTGCAATAGTTACCTTGTATATACTACTGCTATTTTACAATAGGGCATATTCTTATCACAAACAAATATCAAGCTTGCTACTTTATTTTAATCACTGTATCACGCGTGCAGTAAGCTTCACAAAGCTCAGTCCTTTGGAAACTGAAACTCTAAAGGTAAACACAATTGCTTGGCGCCTTACATGGCAAAGTTACACGACCTTACATGAGAAACACAATTATGAGAATACATTCTCTAGAATAATCTACTGTAGAAAAAAGCACCCCTTGTAGGCATGGTGACCTTGTTCTTCTAGCACATTATAAATAATAATGTTGCTCCTTCGTAGGGAGATAGTTTGCATTCATTCAGCTGATGGGCAACTGAAGAATGAGCATGTTTACTATCTGAAACAAGGGCCCTTGACCTTAGAACTGGAACTGGGCAAATTAGCAGATTTTTTTTATTTGCTGGTACTGCCACAAAATGAAAAAGTTGGGAAAAAAAAGTTTGTTTCAGGTTGACTTAAAATATTTTTTACATTCATAGTAAATAGAAAAGTTGAGGGAAAATGTATTTTGAATCAAATTACATATTTTATTCTACCAGAAGAAAATCAATTTGAGTGTTTTTTAACATTGCAATTTTTAAAAAATAAAAAATTTCATAGTATCATAGAAGAGATCTCAGGAGGTCATAGAGTCCAACCCCCTGCTAAAAGCAGGAACAGTCCCAACTAAATTATTTCGGGTACGTCTACACTGGGCGGCAACCCCGCATCTTAACAAGACACCCATTACTTTGAAATATTTTTTGCAATCACAGGCATCCCTGTAACCCTCATTCCACGAAGGTTAAGGAATGTCTTGAAATAGTGTTATTTTGAAATTTGCTGTGTAGATGCACCAAACTTCAAAATAAGCTATTTCAAAATACAGCAGAAATAAGATACACAATTTGCATAGCGCAAATTGCATATCTTCTTTCGAGGTTTGGGTGCTGTGTAGATGCACCCTTCTATACTAAAAGTTGTTTTGAATTTGAAAAAACAAAAATTTTCATTCAGGAAAATGTTGAAATCTAGCATGTCTACATTTTCTGAATTTTGAGGGAGGTAATTGAAATAGTTTGAGGTAATTGACATTAATTCAGGAAATATTTGTGTCATTAAATCTGCATTTCTTGATTGAAAAAAGCCCAGGAATTCTCATGTATTTCTATTTAAAACACACACATTTTCTCTAGCCCCTAAAGTAGAACTTATTTGAATAACATTGACCATATTTCTCTGTGTCACTGTTGCTCCTCAATCACTACTTGATCCATATTTGACTCGGGCAAAGAGAGGATTTAAAAGGAGCTCTGTGTGAAAATCTTGAAGCCATGGGAAAATGAGTCTAACGAGCTCCCTGATTGAGGGATTTTGCTATATAGATAGGCTCTTTTGGTAATACTTTGTTAAGGCTACATTTATAAGTAGTTGATAAAGGACTAATAAATTATTAATGCCTATTACTACTATGCATGTAGCAAACATAAATAATACAAGTTCCAAATGGATATAATCACAAGATGTCATAAGTAACCTATTGACTGTAATAAATGATTTGCATTTAGAAAGGGTTAATAAATAGTATCTTTAAAGTGTGACTCTTCTAGAGCAGCTATGCCAGTTACATGGAGAGTGTATCTACCTTAAGGAATATTGCCATCTGTTGGAGGTGACTGACTTTAAGTACAGTATCCAAGAGACAATGAGTTGATAGAATATAAGAAATAATAGATGATGTAAAAGCCAAGACACTAATAGGGCTCAAAAAGGACTATATAAGTTCATGGAGGATAGGCCCTTCCATGGCTGTTAGCTAAGATGGGCAGGGATTATCGCTAGCCTCCGTTTCCTAGAAACTGGGAATAGATGACAGGGGATGGATCACTTGATCATTAAGCATTGTATTCATTCCCTTGGAAGCATCTGGCACTGGACACTGTCAGAAGAGAGGGTAATGGGCTGAGGGACCTGTGGTTTGACCCAATATGGCCATTCTCATGCTCTTGGAGATTAGCAGTAATGCAAGGAAATAATTCAATTTTAGACTACGTCTGTACTGCAGGCTTCTTGCGCAAGAAGCTTTTTGTGGAAGAGATCTTCCACAAAAACTTCTTGAGCAAGAGTGCACCCACACTATAAAAGTGCATCGCAAAAATTATGTGCTTTTGTGCAAGAGAACGTCCAGACTGAATGGATGCTCTTGCGCAGGAAAGCTCTGATTGCTATTCACAAAATAGCCACCACAGCATCTGTGCTTTTTTCGATTGGCTCTTTTTGCACAAAACCCCCGTTGCCCATCTACACACACCTTTATGCGCAAGAACTGTTGTGCAAAAAGGAGTTATTCCTCGTAGAAAGAGGAATACCTACACCACAAAAATCCCTCTGTTCGTTTGATTTACTGTAAGTTTACTTGCACAAAAATGCGCTTGAGGTGTTGACGCTCCACGGGTTTTTGCGCAAAAACAGTTGTTTTTGGGCAAAAACCTTGTAGTTTAGATGTAGCCTTAGGGTGCTGATGTTATGATGAAGTAATTAAAATCCTTTGAAGACATTTCCTCCTTATCCCTTACATTTTTGTTTTTCTCTGACATACCCTGTCTTTTCTGTACTACTTTACTCTGCTGAGCTCAAACCCTTCCTTCCTTCACTGTTTGAAAAAACAAAACAAACAAACCATTTTGTAGAAGTTTTTGGAGAAAGTTTCTTTAAAATGATTCTTGTGAAACAAAGAAATGTCTGTTTGTTAGAAGGCATGGTTTTGCTTTAAAGGCACTATAAAAACTAGAGGAATTCCTTGGGCATGTTAGGACATATGGGTTGGTTTGAGAAGGCACCAGTATCTTAGTCAGAAGCACCAGGCAATAAAATTGGCAACATTAGTTGCCATGGTATTGGTTTTATATGAAAACTGCACTAAACAATTATGTACAATTGTGCATATGTGACCAGAAAGTAAAAGGCAAGTTTGGCAACTATTCATTTGGACATTTTCTTTTATTTTCTCTAAAATTCACATTGTATAAATACTGCTGCACAACCTCTCTTTTTTTCATTTGTTCCAATCAAATTTCTCTCCCACTTATTCCAGCATCTTTTCTGACTGAAATAGCCCTCAGGGCTGCAAAGCAGGAACCAAGAATGTTAATGAAGTGGTATAGGAAAGTCAAAAGGAAAACAAAGCAATGAAACATTTTTTTAATGAAAATGAGCTCACAATTAAATATGTGCAAATGAGATTTATATGTGGAGAACAAATTTACTTTGAAGACCAGGGGCCTGTGGGATTTTGGAGATTTATTACATGTTTTTGAGATTTATTACATCTCATTTTCATTGTATACAACTTTTAACATTGCCATTGTGCTATATGGCTCAGAATCTTGCAATGTTATATATATATATAAAAAAACCCTAACAGGACAGATGGGGTGAGTGGGGGAAGTTTGAGGTATGGAAGACAGAGCAGTGGAGTGAGAGAAAGTATGAAATCTGGTTTCTACAAGGAATAACTCAGTGGAAATCTGTCATAAAAATGCCCTACTATTTGAGAACAGTGACAAAATATATTTGCAACTCAGTCATCTTCAGCCTCACCCATACCCCCACAAGTTCTTGAGAAATGCAACACCACAAAATGAAGTATTAAAATCATTCAACTAATTAAACTGGAGTGAGAGAAAGTATGAAATCTGGTTTCTACAAGGAATAACTCAGTGGAAATCTGTCATAAAAATGCCCTACTATTTGAGAACAGTGACAAAATATATTTGCAACTCAGTCATCTTCAGCCTCACCCATACCCCCACAAGTTCTTGAGAAATGCAACACCACAAAATGAAGTATTAAAATCATTCAACTAATTAAACTTATTTTCCAAA